GTTTGAAAGATAATTTTAAATGCTACCTGTTTTACATTTACACATTTGTTGTATGTTTAGTACATTCTTCGTAATTTTGCAAAAACCTGTATTTTTAAATATTTTTGAGTTGTTTTTGTTTGTAACGTTTTATTGATACAATTTATCAAAAACCACCAATGAAAAAAGTTGTAGAACATTTAAAAATCTTTACAAAAATACCAAATTCGATATGTTTTACTCAAAAGATTACGTCAAGAAACTAGATAAATCTCATAAAAACACCAATTTTGGCGCAAAAACGCCTATTAGTCCGGCCTCTAGGGCAGTTCGCAAGTCTTATAAAAACAGTTTCGCCATTCAATGTTTATGTACGTGTCTAAATAAGGGTTTTCAACTCGGGTGTCACGTCTGCACCCACTGCAGTTTCCGGTTATGACGTCATTAAAATGGCGGAAAGGGCTATATTAAAAATAACGATATTTTACATACCATGTATTGGATCGGAATGAACTTTTTTTTTGTTTGAAAGATAAGTTTACATGCTATCTTTCTTACATTTGCACTTTTGTTTTATGTTTAGTACATTTTTCGTAATTTTGCAAAAACCTATATTTTTAAACATTTTTGTGTTATTTTTGTCGATAACGTTTTATTGATACAATATATCAGAAATAACTTAAAAACAAAGTTGTAGCACGTTAAAAGAGCTTTACAAAAATACCAAATTCTATATGCTTTACTCAAAAGATCACGTCAAGAAACTAGAAAATCGTACAAAACAACCTAATTTTGCGCAAAAACGCATATAAATCTCAATCCATGCAAATGGAAATTCGCTTAGTCGAAAGGATTGCTGCACCGGGGGTATTTATATAGTGGAAACATTCCTATGGACTAATTACATTGATTTGTTGTGCTTTTATTTGCATAAAAGAGGGTAATGGTCTTATTTTAAGTAAAATAGCTGGTGAAATCGTAACATGTAGCAATTTTTAAGACATCATAACCGGAAACTGCAGTGGGTCCAGACGTGACACCCGAGTTAAAAACACTTCTTTAGACACATACATCAACATTGAATGGTAAAACTGTCTATATATGACTCGAACACAGCCATCGATGTCGGATTTATATGCGTTTTTGCGCAAAATTAGGTTGTTTTGTACGATTTTCTAGTTTCTTGACGTGATCTTTTGAGTAAAGCATATCGAATTTGGTATTTTTGTAAAGCTATTTTAACGTGCTACAACTTTGTCTATAAGTTATTTCTGATATATTGTATCAATAAAACGTTATCGACAAAAATAACACAAAAATGTTTAAAAATATAGGTTTTTGCAAAATTACGAAAAATGTACTAAACATAAAACAAAAGTGCAAATGTAAGAAAGATAGCAAGTAAACTTATCTTTCAAACAAAAAAGTTCATTCCGATCCGACAAATAGTTTGCGAAATATACAATTTAAAAAAATCAATGGCCGCCATTTTGATGACGTCATAGCTCGAAAACGTACCAGGTGCGAACTTGACACCCGAGTGGAAAACACTTCCTAAGACACCTATATTGAAATGCAAAAGTAAAATTCACTATACACGACATGCACACAGAACCCTAGTCAGGTCCTGGACTAAAGTGACATGTCGCACAAATGACACCCAAACTGTAACAGTTTCAAGCGTGTGTTCTTGTTTTCAACTAATTTTACCCTAACTCTTCGTCCGTAAGTAATTTCGCCACTATTAAATAGTGGCGAAATTACTTTAAGTTTATAGCCAACACATTCAAAGAGAATAAATTTTCTTCTCTTTGAATGTGTTGGCTATATACGACTCGTCAAGGTATTGTAAACAAGATTTCAAACCGTAGTCGAAACATAATAAAATGTAATTGGCACTCAGGTTTTAATAGTTTTCTGTTCTCTTGTGAACACATGTTGCATAGCTATGGTCGTGCAGTGTTTTATGGTTATTGCTTGCCGGTAACTGTGTTCAAAAAGCGGGACATTGTTCTATTCACTATTAAAAAAATCCAATGGAATGTGCAAAAGATGGTTTGACGTACAAACTACAGTAAACCCTCATTACTCCTGACTCCTGTTAATAATTATTGATCCAAGTGTGTTGATCCAAGTGTATTTGAAGGCCATTAGGGTTCACTTTGTATTTTATCAAACGCCATCTACAGAAAAAAGTAACAGTGTATATGAAATTAATCAGAGAAACAAAATCTTTTTGTTTTACACAGGAAACACATTTAATTTACAAAATCATACTCGAACAAGTAACATTTTTTTATTTTTTTAATACACACAATAAGTTCATGTGGTTGACATAGTTTATGAAATTGTAAATAAAAATAATTTACAGAAACATTCTTTTGTATGGTAAAGTAAGCGCCATCTGGCCTTTTCTTACACTTAACCTGACTAACACGTAATCAAATAATAAAATTTCAAATTAACAATGGGGCTTAGTTTATACATGTTTGACCAACTGAAACAGCCAACCTAGAACTAATTATGTCATTTTCACACTTTGATGATTGTCATTCACCATTTCCTTAGGTAAACAAATGACTATATCTGTGTTCAACGTGTGTAAACATTTTTAAAGCTATCGAACTGTAATGTAACAATCACAACACAGCTTAACCAAAGCCCAACAAAGATGTGTCAGCCCTACGGTCTCTTTCCTTCAATATAGGCCTAACCGTTTAACTAAACATAACGAAGTTTAAACATAGGCTGACAATATCATTGTTAGCCTATGGTTATACTAAGTTATATTTACAAGCCATTATGTGTTTTGTTTAGGTATACCCTCCCTTTACAAACCTTGCCCGGGTCGGGTTCCTGAAAGGATCGTAGGAGCCATCCGTGACGTCATATTGATGGTCCGTTTCCCATGTTAAACATTTCCAGGATTACTAAAACTGGTTGTTTATTCCGAATTTATAAAGTAAGTATGCATTGTAGGGTTTGCACACGACTTGAGGAGATGGTATGGTGAAATATACGATGAATTTCTAAATTTTACCATATTTCATATTATTTACTTCATTTAAAGCATCTAAATTTTAGATTTTTTTTCTTTTAACATAGGGTAAATTCGTTTATACTTCCAACACAGGTTTTGACTTTCACTAAACACTTTACATCTAAAACTAAACTTTGTAGTCAGAATCTATTTTGTAACTTCCCATCCTGATCTATGGCGGTGTCTGACAATGACTCTCTCAGACAGGCATAGACAAAACAATGATAACACATACATGTTGGTTAGTCTATAGTACAGTTGCAATAATTGCAACTTTGAATTGAACTCGAAAAAGTATAAACATCATGGAATTGTTCCTCTGAAATCTACAAATATGACGTCACGGATGGCTCCTACAATCCTTTCAGGAATCCTACCCAGCCTTGCCCAGTTTAAGCAAAGTTAAGGTAGTTAAATCATAGCCTAACAAAACATATATCAGTCTAACTTTTCTTAGGCCTAACTTTTTTTATTCTTTACAGACTTTACCCTTCAGGACTGACAACCCCTACAGGACTACCCTTATTTTCTTAGCCTTCTTCGGGTCAGCTTCATGGTTACCTTTCATGATGCTGAGGTTCCAACTGCAAAAATAACCCATCTTCGTTATCTTGTAAGTTTATTGTGACGAATCAATATCCCTCCAAATTGTTTTACGTTATTAGGTAAATTTTTAATACTGTATAATTAATTGACTATTAAGGTTAGGTGATTATCAGACCATTGGACAAATACTTGTTCATACTTGCGGGCCATAGTTTTGGATTGGACTCCTAAAATCCTAATAATCTTGGTAAATAATGTTAGTTTTCACAGGAATGTGTAAATTGTGATGAAGAACGTATAAATATTAATGTATCTTTATACAAATAAAAATTAATATGCCTACTCACTATTTCAATAATTATTAAAATTTGTAAGCTGTAAAAAAAAATTAAATCTCAAAATCTCACCACAATTAATTAGTATACGTGGGTTAGTTGTACCTTGTGTTATTATAATGTGTGTTTCAGATGAGATTGGACAATTTTGCTATCTTTATACAAAGGAGATCGCCTGGACAGCTTAAACAAGTCTACAACTATTGTTGCAATTTAACAAAACATGTCATTGACTTTACTGAAATAAAGCTTTTCAGGCATGACACTATATTCTAAATTGTGTATAATGTTTACCTTTGTATTTAAAATGCTAACAGAAATATAATAACCAATGATTTCCAAACTACCAATAGAAAGTGCCTTTCCTTCGTGACTATTTCCTTCGGCAAAATCATATGACTCGATTTAAAGAAAATATCGTCGTTTTACTTGACCCCAGCAAATTTATCGTTCAAAAAGAACTACTTTAGTCGCACCTTGAAATCTTCGAGTTAATTTTACGAAAAATGTATTGAATAAAACTCATGCGCTACCTATTTTATTCTATATTTTAAAGGTTTTCTGTCATGTTGACATGAAGAATGGCTACATAGCTGTGGTGTGTATTAAGAGCCACATAGGCAAACGTTGAACTGAGGAATGAGGACATCTTTCTGTTCCATTTAAGACATTATTGAAAGATAACATTGTGTTTTATTTTTAGTTGTAATTTTTAAAGGGTATAATCACTATAAGTCTTTATTAGTACAGGGAGCGGCTATAAAATATATAAGTTATATACCCACCCACAGCAAAATTGTGTCTCAAGTTGGGGCTTTCCCCTTAAACCCACATTGAAAAGTCTATGGAACTGCCTCTGAACAGCTACACAGAAATTACAACTTTTAAAACACACATCCACTACAATCGCACTCAGCCTTCCATAGCTTCATGACCACTAAAAATGTCCGCACGTAGGCTATGGAACGCCCCTATTCCCAGTGGTGAAGGGTGTTTCACCACTAACTCGCTCAACAGGGCGGAAAAGAAAACTGCCAGATAATTTTGCCACTCCCTGTAAATAATTCTGTATGTAAAGGTTTACAAAAAAAATAAACATATCATGAGGTATGATCAGTAATTTAATTTTTCATCTGACGTAATTTACCTCCATTTTCCCTGTCAAGTTTTCCCTGTTAAGGACATACTTGAAGACCTCTGAAGTGCGCCTTGTATCTTCCATTAAGATATGTTTTTGATGTATTTTCGAGGCTACCTTTGAGAGTTTCCAAGGACTCATCTGGAATACCTTTTAAAAGGTGTTCTACGTCACTGTACTGCAAAATAATAGAAAACTATAAACTAAGTTTATAAAAGCCTTAGTAAATGGATAGTAGTAGTGGGTGGGGTATAGCATAGGTGGTAAATCTTATAAAGGCAAATGCCAATCACTAAAATATCACTATATCTCATAACACATACGACCTAGAACTATCAAATTTGGAATAGAGGGTGTCTGTGCGGCGTTTATATGTATTAAGACGCTGGTTTTACATAGTTATAAATTTAACGGGGGTATGGGGGGGGGGAGTTAAAGATATTTCCGGTGAAAAACTACCTTGTAAGTCTTATAATTTGCTCTGTATAAGCTAAACTAAAGCTTAGATCTAAAATCTGATGAAATCATTAGTGTAGAATTAAACTATCTACAACTTATGTATTTAAAGTGCTTTTCTATCTCAAATAGTTTTAGAGTAATATCAGTTTAAAGACAAATCTGAGAAAATTAACTTTTTCTTCGTGTTTTCGTCTCAAAACAAGGTTGCTCCAATTTAACCGTGATTACAAAACTTTATATATAATTAAAATGCAGTCTATTTAACATAATAAAAACATAAATAACTAAAAAGCTGATAAAAATATCGTGCACGTGCTTCCCTTTACTTCCCGGGATTATGAAATTTAAAAACAAAAACTTTTATTGTGAATTTTATTTTTATTTTTTTTAATTTCAAGGCTAAACATGTGTTTTTTTTTTTATTTCCCTCATAGAATTAAAAGTTAGAAATATGTATCCATATGGATACCATGGAAACCTAAAGTACCATTGTTCGCTAATTTTCATAAGTTAATAATTTTAATTTTGCCTTGACACTCCCATATGGATACAAGTTTCTTAAAAGTTGTATCAAATTGAAGAATAAGTTACTTGTTCATCAATTCAAACCATTTTTTTTTTTATGAGTACATATAGACGTATTATGTAAACAAAATTATTAAAATATCACTAGATGGCATCATAAGCCACTCGTCAATTTCTTCATTGTCATTCATCTGTAAGACACATAATGATTTTAATAATATTGGACTGAAACAAGCATTACAACACTTATAGGCCTATATTTATCACTGTGCAGACTTAAAAAAAACAGACTTATATCGAAGAAAATACAAAAGAAAAACAGTATCCATATGGATACTATGGGAACACAGACGACTCACCGTAGCTATTATTAAAAATAACCTGTATCCAAAAGGATATTATGGGAGCACAAAGGACTCTTTAAATATTGTCAGCATACTCTGTGTTCCCATAGTATCCATTTGGATTTAGTTATTTTATACCAAATATATAAAAAGTAAGTAACAGAAGACTGTTATTCTATGTATATTTCAGTTGCTAAAGGTGAAATGAAGTGAAATATAATTTTTCCCAGTTCCCTAACTAATTATAAACATAAAAAATCTTATCTTGAAAATCTTAAATTTCAAGATTTGTCAACAACCTGGTTTGCATCACTTTGAAATTATATTTTTCTTCTTTTCGCAGGCTTGCCAACACTAAGAAAATTAAATACCCTTTCTAATAAGACTAGAAACAAAATGCATAGAGGTATAGACTCAAATCTCTACCTACAGAGAGGAAAAAAAATGAGAAATAATATGTATCCAAAAGGATACTATGGGAAGGCATGGGAAGGAAAGGGTTAAAGTATGCACTGTATTACATGATAGGAGTTATTAATCACGTTATTTCTTCCAAAATACGTGTTGAATAAAACCCGTAACCCCATAAAAACATTGGACATCGTCTATTCTAAAACTTTATCTCGGTAGCTATTACCATTGACTATGCGGTGCCCGCCGTCGAACGCTTGGCTTAATTCACTGATTCGCTAACCCCTATGGCCTGCTAGGAGTCAGATGCAAATCTCAAATGTAAGCATTGTTATATGTGTACATCAATTTAAAGGGGTTTAATAGTAAAATACAATGCCACGAATTTGAACTCAAACAACAGAGTCAAAGGTGGCAGCCGTTTAAAGATTTCTTGATCCGCCATTTTGAATCTTTGAACGGCTGCAATTTTTACTCAAATGCTCTTTTGAGCTAAATTTGTGGTATTGTATTTTACTAATAAAAACCTATAATTTGATGTGAATGTCCACCAATAGTTAAATTTAAGACTTTTTCTAACTCCTAGCAGGCCCCTTAGGAGGTAGCGTATCACTGAATAAAGATTTACGATTCAATTAATCTAGAACGTATAGAGATATAGATTTTTGCCACCAGTTATCTGGTCTTTTCAATATTAACAACGTATAGTTTCAAATGTTGGTCACTTGAATGCTCTTTTCAATCTGGTGGATAAAATGGTCAGCTCAGCAGCAGACGACTCACGACTGACGTCATACACTCGGGCTTGTTCACATATATTGTTCTATCTCAAGTTATAGGTTTATATCACTCACGCCGTATTCCTTCACGTTCTTGAAACGGATTATTGGCTTATAGTGGCAAACTACGAGCAGGGACATTACGTAAGGGGGGCAGAGGGGGAAGCCATCCCCCTTCCAATAATCTTTAAAAATTGTAAAAGTTGGGAATTTTTGGATATTTGATGGTATGAGTTGGGATTTTGGGGATTTCGAAACTGTCATTAAACTGTCAACTTAAAGGTTTATTTTCAAACTAAGCAGACAACTTCTCATATGTATAACTAGGGTTGCTTTCAGAGAGGTGAAAGCCAGTTGAGCGGAACAAACGTGATTTGATATTTGTATAAGTAACTAAATGTAAAAAGGTCAATAGATTTATTTACTAATGCTGGTTTTAAAGATTAAAATTATAATAACTCAAATTTACCTCTTCGAGAAGTGCATTATGGTAGTTTTGACCAGGAAAATATTACAGTAGTTGGAATCTGATATTAACATCCAAAAAGTAAAGTATAAAAATGAGAAAGGTAATTTAACATTCAAATGCAACGGCTACATTTTTCACCCTTACAATCGGTTAAAGTATTTAAGTATAAAAAAAACAGTAACTATAAAAAAACGAGTATTAAAGTATAACAACAGGAGGGGAAATTTGACATTTAAATTCAACCGTGCAACATAAAATGGCTGGAATGTAGGCCTAAACATAAGTAATAAGTAAAATCGCATTCAGCTGATTTAAGTGAAAACAGAATAATATAATAAGTAGGGAAGACATGCCTTAAATATACAATGTAGATAATATAATTAGAAATTAGTAGCCTACTTCTGGACAGGCCTAGACAATTATCCATACCGTGGTTAAAAGTGTACTTCTATAAGCCCAGGTTTACTTATCAACGGTTGTAACTGGACGTATGTATAGTCCGTGGCTTGGCAATCAAATAACAGTATTTGTATAGGATGGGCTACTGTTATCAACATTTGAAATAACTGAATTGTTACCAAATTACTGTTTCACAAAATGCAGATTCCATTTTCAGCCGAGCCATTAAAATGAGGATTTGCCGAACAATTATTAATATTACAGAATAGTATATAATGATATACAACTTTTCACATTCCATAATTATATGTTAGTTTTGCTATGGTCAAAGGTACAAATCCAAATGTTCTCTTTTCTTTTTGTCGGTATGTAATAATTTGCTAGAATCATTGACTTTATATAAAGTCAAAGCTAGAATACTGTAGATGGTTTGTTAAGTTAAGACCATATGCAAGCATTTTTGAAATCGTTTCCCCGTTTAACCTTAACCAACTATTCCATTCCAAAAGTTAAAAAATTATATGGTGCAACACAAATAAACAACCCGATCGCCTACCTATAACCTACACTATACCTTCCTAATCTAACCTTACTTCAAAACACTTAATGTAGTCACGAATACTCATAAACCCCGACCTACCTCCCCACATGCCTAAATCAGTGTTCAATCTGCGTTTTATCAATAAGTGTAATAACTTACTGTACCGTCGATGTAATTAAACATAATATAACCTATGAGGTATTATCGGATTAGATACCGATTTCGATGCGGTTCGATATATCGCTTATTAAATCCTGATTTCTAACATTGGCTGTTTCTAATCAGCTGGCAACACAAATAGGTTCCCAAGAAAGTAGTCACCGGTCCGTATCCCTCCGCTCCTTGTTTATGCTCCGCGCATTGAGAAAGTAGTTCAGTATATTTTCTCGATTTTCAGTGAATTCCGTGCCTTAAAAAAATGTTTTAACGGCATTTTCTTGTTTATTAAAATCATAGGAATGGTTTAAAATCGTTTAAAAGAAAAGTATAGAAAGTTCAGAAATACCTTATGATTCTCTTGTTTACATTTTTCTTGTAAACAAAAAAACTGTCATAGCTACTTTAGTCCCATAAGCCCAATGTTAAAAATTTTAAATTTTAAGTTCGTTTTAAATTGCATTAGCATTATCTAATTGAAATTTGTTTGTTTACAAACCATCTCATTATTAGTCTAAGTAGTCTTGTTAAGTTTGGCTGAAATGTGTTCAGCCGTTATTGAGTGATGGTGTTATATTGTTTGCATTGAAGTTGATCCCAAAGAGCTTCGCTCGCTTCGCTCGCTCCGCTCAAAAAACTGTTTAAAAATGTCATATGTTGAGTAATTATGGTACATTACATAACGTATCTGTACCTATAGTACACAGTAATAAAAGGCTTTTAAGGGTAATTTTTCCGAAAAAATTAGTTTAGGAGACTGTAAACTTAGTGTATTATTTGATCCGCAACCCTACAGTGTAAACATTTGTTGAGACACAATCAAAAACGAGGATTGACAGTCAACTCAATAATGTGAAACCTTCATTTCTCATTATTTTGTGTATGTCGGCTATAAAGAGGCTCTAAAGGTAAAATACCCCCGCCGCAGCAAACCTGCAGACTCAGCGAATTTCAACTTGTCTGATTACATATTTACTCAAATATTTCCATAAATAAGACATATTACCAATTTATAAATAAAATAAATAAATAAATAAATAAACTAGGTGTACAATGCAGTTGTCTGCTTGCAATATTGAGCGGAGCCAGCATATT